CCTTAACTCCCCCAAACTCATTCCATTCTCAACCTCCACCTCTCCAACACCCTCTCTTGTAACCCTAACCCTAGATTGAGCCTTGTGAGAAAAAAGAATGTGTTTTTAAGTGCCTTGGAGTGTTCTTGGTGCATCTTGGAGAAGAAGGAACTCATTGAAGAAGTGTTGGTTGCATTGGAGCTTGTAGATCCAGACTTTGTTCACCTTGATCTTTCTTCTAGAGGTATAAAGTTTGAATCTTCATGAAGAAATTGTTAGATCTTGCTAGTTTTGGGTGTTATGAGCTTTTGGTCACTTTAAGTGCATAAAGTTTAGATCTTGAAAGTTTGTGACCTTGTTATAGATAAAGTTGGAAACTTTATCCATCTAAACATCATTTTGATTCAGATCTGAAGGCTGGAGACTTGTACTAAATGGATTATGTTGAAAAAGATGCACTTTTGGGTCCCTTTGAGACTTAAATATTGGATCTTGTTTGTTGGGACCATTCTAATGTATAAAGTTGGAAACTTTATCCATTATGAACCATAAAAATGTGATCTTGGCCCTTTTATCCCTTCCATACAAGAGTTGTGATGTCTTATCGGGTTAAGAACTTAGGGTTTTGGACATTAAGCACATTATAGCCATGCAAAGTCATAAAATTGGAAACTTTATGACTTAGGACATTATTTTGGGCTTGGATCTGAGTTTTGGACATAAGGGCTCAATGAAATAAACTCTTAATGGAGTTTTGGGACTGGGCTGCGTACGCTGGGCGTACGTGGTCAACGCCCCGCTTTTGGTCAACATCAGAGTACGCTGGGCGTACTCTCTTGATACGCAAGGCGTACTCCAATGGGAAGGAATATTGACTTTTGGACCTTGACCTTTGACTTTGACTTTGATCAGGGTTGACCAAGTTTGACCAACGGGCAGTTTGGGTAATTTGATTTATAGTTTGAGATTTGGGTTCCTGTTAATTGTATAGGTGACCGGTAGAGATAGCTTTTAGAGCAACGATCAGTGTAGCTATTCTTTCAGACTGTAAGGTGAGTTTTCTCACTATATCCATAGATCGAAGGCACCAATGTCGGCCCATTACTTGGTATGTGGAATGTTAGTTGTCTTTGTGATACTTTCTTGGAAGACCCTGGGGGTAGCCCATGGCACTTGGATGTCATACCATGGGGGCAGCTCATGGCATTTCAAGGAAAGACCATGGGGTAGCCCATGGCACGTGGATGTTAGACCATGGTGGTAGACCATGGCATTTCAGGGAAAAGACCATGGAGTAGCCCATGACAAATGTATGTATGGTATGTGGTATTTTGGGGAACTCACTAAGCTTTGTGCTTATGGTTTTAAGTTTATGTTTCAGGTACATCCAGTACTAAGGACAAGGGCAATTAATGATATTACTCGGATGTTTAAATGATATATTCACTTTGATCTTGAAAGTTTGTGACTTTTTTATAGATAAAGTGGGAAACTTTATCCATATAAACATCATGTAGATTAAGATATGAAGGTTGGAGACTTAGACTTAAAGGATTAAGTAGAGAAAGATGCATTTTTGGGTCCCTTTAAGACTTAATGTCTAGATCTTTGTGGTTTGGACCTTCTTAATGGATAAAGTTGGAAACTTTATCCATTATGAAACAATTAGGAATCAAAACTGATGATTTTAGCTTTGGTCCTTATGGATTGAGCTCCCATTGAAGAAAAGCCTTTCAAACTGGAGACCACGACATGGCCATGGAAGGCCACGGCGTGGTGGCAGGACTTATCGCGTCTATTTTGTTTGTACATGACCATGACGTGGCAAAGGAAGTGCCACGACATGGGGGTCATCTGAGTTGACTTGACCATTGACTTTTTGACCGGTTTGACTTTTGGTCAAACATGGATAGAATTGAGTATTTGACTAAGGATTGGTCCCAGTTTGGATTTTAGGAAGCTTGTGATGGCTGTGGTGTTGCTAAGGTAGTTGTTGAGCTCTATGTTGAGTAGTTCAAGTGAGTCTTCTCACTATACTTGTGGGTCGAAGGCACCAATGTGGGCCCACTGGATGGTGTTATGTAGAATGCTAGTTGTCTTTGTGACTCTTGCATGATTGATTGGGGTGAAATATACCCCAGGGTTGGGCCCACTATTGTATGTTGGTTTGAAATATACCCCAGGGCTGGGCCTAATATTGTATGTTGGGTTGAAATATACCCCAGGGTTGGGCCTACTATTGTATGTTTGGGTTAAAATATACCCCAAGGTTGGGCTCACTATTATATGTTTAGGTTGGAATATACCTTAGGGCTAGGCCCACTGTTTTGTATGGTATGTGGTATTTTGGGGAACTCGCTAAGCTTTGTGCTTACGGTTTATGTTCAAAATGTTTTCAGGTACATCTAGTTTCAAAAGGAAGAGTCCGGCTTGATCGCACTGCATCCCCTGGAGATTTATTCTGCATTGATTTTTTATAATTTTACTCTGATGTTTTACGAATACTTTTACTCCGATTGTATTTGGGATAATGAATGAATGGTTTTAACTTACTTAAAATGAAATTTTTACTCGGTATTTTTGGGATGTTACAGTTGAAGATATGTCATTAGGGCTAATTTTCGGCTATATTTATAGGTTTCAGAGTCACCACGGAAAAAGGCTCGTCACGCCGTGGGAGATGGTTTCTACGCATGCACGAAATTTTCCGATTTGTCACGTCGTGGAAACGCTTTGCCATGGCATGGGAACTAGGAATCAGAATTTTCTCAAAACACGAAAGTTGTCCGAAATTTTATGTAGTTTCTCGTCAATCGGAGTTACGAGTCATGAGATATGGTCAAAACACTGGCGATGGGTCAAGCCGGCAACAACATCCTTTTTGCGTCTTTTTTCAGCTATTTTCTCCTCCTTTTGCATCTCAGCTTCCATTTTAACTGTAATTGAACATTTTAAAGCATAATAAGTATCATATATATCTCAAAATATAACATTTTTACTCAAATATATTTATGATAATGGCCTAAAATATATAGTTAAATAAAGTCATATCAAAGCATATACATGAAAACTTCCGATCCAAATTGATGATAGTTTCCACCCATCATACTTACATTATAAATATTAAGAAAATGAACGAACGCAAAACGTTTCCGGTATGGATAACTTGTGTGGAATGAAGATATCTATCACCTTTCCATGGCTTTCACATATTGATCGCAAGTTCTTGATCTCAATGTCAACAGGAAAATTCGCCACGTAGATTGTAGTCGAAAACCTCTCTGCTGGCATATTAAAACTCACCTTCTTAACATAATCTTCCCGACTATTAACATTATTTTTAGGTAGATTCATTTTCTTTTTCATTTTAACAGATAGCCACTCCTAATCACCTACAATCTCGTCGTCTTTGGATTCTATCACCATGAGTGTAGTCTTAGTAAAGAGTTTTACAGTTGTAGGACAAAATTAGGAATCGAGTGATAACATGTTGCTATGTATTTACATGTTTACAAAAAATAGTGGTTCCTTTGAATATTTTTACCAAATATAGAATTGTAATTTTTTCTTCTTATTAAGTCATTATGTTTTTGAAAAACTCATTCGATAATAACATTTGTATTTTCAATTTTTAGGCTATGTTTCTAAAACAACAATTTTCTATGCACGGTATGTTGGGTTAATCGTGTTTGTTTACGGGTCAGTGGATCCAAAACTTGTAGCAAAAGACTTGGTCATTATCTCTTCCTAATTTGTTGGTATTTTGATTTAGTCATAAGTCTTTTTGGGAGTCAAATAGATTATCCGATTAGTACTGGTAGTAGTGGTCCTTGCTTTTAGGAGTTTTTTCTAGTATTTAAAGATATGTAAGTTACAGTTTTTTAAGTGGAAGGAATACAAAGAAAATTGCCCCACAACGTATCTCTTGTTCTCCTTCTCCTGTACTCGTTTTTTTATTATTGTTGCATGAAGCAAAGGTTTTACAACACAGTCTAGATGAGCAATAGTTGTAACTAAAACTTAAAACACACAACAAAATTTTCGCCATTAAATCTGGTCATCCACCAAATTTTCTTCAGATTCATCATCACTCTCCATCCTGTATAAAAATTACATTAAATTAACAAAAAGAAATAAATTGATTTTTTTTATTAAGAGAACCTCCAGCAACGAGTACAACTAACAAACACAGAAAGAACAAAAACCTAACCAACAAGAAGAACCAAACTACAACTACTCAAACAACACTAAGACTGTGACAGCAGCAAAGTAGTAAAAGAGGAGCCAAGGGCAAAAATGTCAAAGAACCCAAAAGCAGCAGACTAAAACAAACAGACAGCAACCGTGGCTCAAGTTCATTCATGATTGGTAACTGAAGTTTTTGTAGGGAACTTCTCGGTGTTCACTTATTTTGTGAAAATGTGTTTGATTTTTTTATGTTTCTTTGAAGTAAGAGTTGTATTGCTTTATTAGGCTGAATAAACTGTGAGAGAGTAAATGACCATTCCACCCTTGAAAAATAAAAAGAAATGTTTTTACCAGCAAACGTTTATATCTGATCATAAAGGTGAAAAATAAAAAGAAATGTTTTTACCAGCAAACGTTTATATCTGATCATAAAGGTATAGAATACTTTTTTTTAGTGAAGATAGGCATACAAAAAAAAGTTTAGGCAAGAATGTAAATAGTTGGTTTAAACCTTAAACAGAAGCATCAAAATTTGTAATAAGAAAAGGAAAATACTAAAATGAGTGCAAACTTAGATTGCCTTGAATGATTGGGATTTAACTCAAAGCCACATAGATGGAGTATCTACGGTACCAGCAAACATGGGACAGGGGCAAAAATGTCCAAGTGCTTTTTGTTAATATAGGTGATGAAGCTTCTTCTTTTGAATAAAACAACTCTTCAAATAAGAAAGGTGATCTGTGATTTTTCAGAGAAAGAAATAAAGATGGAAAGAATGCAGGTTACTTTCATTCAACATCCAAAATGTGCCTTAAATAGGCTAGCATCCAACTTACACAAGATTAATTCACCCAACACTCCACATTCTCTTAAGGACTCGGTAAAAGAAAAACAAACAAATGACCACAACTTTAATTCTAATTAACATGCTCAAAATAACTATAACCCAACAGCTATCTCTTCCTCTTCATCATCAGAATTTTCAATACTTGTCTCTTCCTTTTCATCATCAGAATCTTTAATAATTTTACTCACTGAACACACCAAACATCAATATTAAAACAATATAAACTTAGAGATTCTAAGTTAGTAAAACAGTGTGTATTTTTGAGAAAAGGATATTCAAGCTCACATTGTAGATTTTGGGTACCAAAGAAGTGAACACTCGTGTTTTTCATGTCGTGAGATAATTTAAAGTTTTCGACAAACACCAAGTTAAATTCTTGGGTTGGCAGAGACTTAGGATAAAGAGTTGCAAGTACAAATCTTTTTCCATCGACTATGATGTACAAATGAACAGGATCATCTCCTTCCCCATCAATTGCTCCAAGACAAGCCTGAGCAAGATGCAAAGACCTCCATTGACCAATTTTTACATCAGTCACCTCACCAGTTTTAACCTCCAAACCTGAATCAAAACAATATGAGTTTGCAAAAAAAATAAAATTATAGTACAACTTAGAAAATGAAAAGTTGAAAACACACATCATAACATCAAACAAAACAGAAAACTAGTGTTAAATACAATTAATATGTAAACAACCAACCATACATATGAAGCATCTAATATCCACATGAAACATAAAAAAACAAAGTTTGTGAACGAAACCATAACAGCACGATGAATATCATCAAGGTAAATCAAAGTGAAGATTTGTATCATCATCAAAACCAACATGGAAAAGGGATAACACAACTTTAAATCTAGACCAACACTTGCACACCCTCTTTCCTAATAACAAACACAAATTGGGATCAAACCAACACAGGATCAAACACATACCAAAACAACCTCCCCAAACACAAACAGATGCATACAGCTGCCTTCCAGTTAATTTCCATCACAGACAAAAAAAAAATCATACATACAATGCATCTAATATCTGTTGTGTTCCAGCCTCCAAAGCTACAGTAGCCATCATTGTTGACAAAATGAAACCTACGGGACAAGTTTTTCTTCCCACCCTATGATGAACACAATTAATAGACGCAACTACAATGGTGGCTGCCATGACTATAAATAGAGACTTCATTCTTCAGTTGTATGCATCCCAAATACAGAGACACAAATGGTATAAAACTTAGAGTGAGAGTGTTAGTGAGAGGGTTGGTCTTTTGTAATAGTTGAGTGTGAGAGTTGCTCCTCCTATTGTAATTCTATTTTAGTGTTTAATAGAAGAGTTTTCCGACCCCAACAACTGGTATCAGAGCCCCGTTTGGTGTCCAGGGAATTCTTTACGAATTTCTCTGTTTTTTCGTCAAATTTTTTTTTGTCTCAAAATCCATTTTTGAGTACACCGTTGGAAAGGGCTTGTTTCAAGGATTCCGAAAATATATTTTTCGTAATTTTTTGACCACGGGAAGACCTCCAAAACGTCGGTCAAAGTTTGGTCAAAATCGCCGGAAAATATCGCCTGAAAAACCAGTCGCCGGAAAGCCTCGCCGGAGAAGAAGGAGTGACGTCATCAGTGACGTCAACAGTGACGTCATCATTGACCAGAGTTTCAGATATTTTCAGTTTAGCCCCTGAAGTTTCCGAAAATTTCAAACAGGTCCCTCTGTTTCTAAAACACTGCAGTTCGGTCCCTGTTTGTTCCGAAAGTAACTTGTTTGCTCCCTAGACTTCAGAAAAGTTTCAGAAAGGTCCCTGGTTGGCAGAAACGTTTCAGATTAGTCCCTGTAAGCTGCGAAAATTACAGTTTAGTCCCTATAATTCTGAAAAGTTACAAATTAATCCATAACTTTTCAAGAAAGTATATTTTGAGCCCGAAAAATTCTACCCCACCATTTTTGACGCTTCCGAATCCAACCGAGAGCTCGGTTTTATCTAATTTTTCCTTGAAATATTTGTAAAATAAATTTGCATTTATTTTCGATGGAATCTACAAGTACGATTACAATGGTTCGACTTACGCCCACAAATTACAACATGTGGAAGCCAAGGATGGAAGATTTGCTTAATCTGAAAGATTTAGCAGAGCCTATAGAAAAGCAAGGCGTCAAACCCAACACGAAGACAGACGAAGTTTGGACGAGAATAAACAGGAAAACGGTGGCACAAATTCGACAGTGGATCGACCACAGTGTTTTTCATCATGTCTCTCAAGAGACAAACGCGTACAAACTTTGGGAGAAGCTCGAGAATATGTATCAGGCAAAGACGGCACGCAACAAGACCTTGCTGATGAGGCGCCTTGTAAACCACAAGTTACGAAGTGGTACGTCCATAACCGAGCATACGAGTCAGTTCCAGGATCTCGTAAACCAGCTCGGTGCTGCTGATTGGGTTCTCAAAGACGAGGAACAAGCCATATTGCTCTTGAGTTCTCTACCAGATAATTGGGAGACGCTTGTTGTGACTCTCAGCAATTCTGCCCCCGGTGGTAAAGTGACAATGGAGATGGTCACAGATGCCCTAATGAACGAGGAAGCCAGAAGGAAAGAAGCTGGTACAGACTAGTCTTTTGCCCTCGTGTCAGAAAACAAAGAAAGAGGCGGAGGCAGAACTGGAGGCCGAGGTCGAGGTAGAGGCAGAGGTAGACATGGTCAAAGTAGAGGAAGATCCCAAGATCGTGGGAAATCACGAGATCGAGGGAAATCGCGAGAGCGAGGTAAATCTTCAAATACATGGTTCGAAGGCTATTGCAATCATTGTAATTATTATGGCCACAAAAGGAGTGATTGCCGAAGGTTCTTACGAGAGCAGCCCGAGACAAGCCAGAATCCAAGCAGGGAGAATGGTGAAACCATGGTCACCATAACACAAGACGTTGCCCTTGTTACATACGAGGAGGAAGCATGCCTACATGTTGAAACTCATGATGATGAGTGGGTGATTGATAGCGCTGCATCATATCATTCGACTCCAAACCGGGATTTATTCAGTACTTATAAACCCGGAGACCATGGTACCGTGAAGATGGGAAACACCAGTTTCTCAAGCATTGCTGGTATTGGTGATGTGCATTTAAAGACCAATGTTGGATGTACATTGGTGTTGAAAGATGTTCGGCATGTCCCAGAGCTGAGAATGAATCTTATCTCAGTTGGAGCTCTTGACGTCCAAGGATATGATAATCAATTCAAAAATGGCACCTGGAAGTTGTTGAAAGGTGTTATGGTTGTTGCAAGGGGAAAACTTGATGGTAATCTTTATAAAAGTCATGCAAAGTTGCTTCAACCAAGTCTCAATGTTGTTAAAGAAGAGACATCACCAAACTTGTGGCATAGAAGACTAGGCCACATGAGCGAGAAGGGATTGACGACTCTTGCAAAGAAGGAGTCCATTTCAATGGCAAAAGATGTTGCCTTGGATCCTTGTAAATACTGCCTATTAGGGAAACAACACAGAGTTTCCTTTAGCTCCACAAGAAAGAACCGCTCTGAGTTGCTGAGCCTTGTCCACTCCGACGTATGTGGACCCATTGAAGTAGAATCTCTTGGTGGAAGCCGATATTTTGTGACATTCATTGACGATGCGTCACGAAAGGTATGGGCATACTGTTTGAGAACGAAGGACCAAGTATTGGACTGCTTCAAAGCTTTTCATGCAATGGTGGAAAGACAAACAGGCAAGAAGCTAAAATGTCTCCGATCAGATAATGGAGGCGAATACTATTCCCGTGAGTTCTCTAAATACTGCACGGAACATGGTATCAGACATGAAAAGATTGTCCCACGAACCCCACAACACAATGGTGTAGCAGAACGGATGAATCGCACCATTGTTGAGAAAGTTCGATGCATGCTCAGCATGACTAAACTCCCAAAGCCATTTTGGGGTGAAGCTGTACTGACAGCTTGCTATCTAATAAATAGGTCACCTTCCGCTCCATTGAATTTTGAAGTTCCGGAGAAGATATGGACGGGTAAAGACATATCATATTCTCACTTGAGAGTATTTGGGTGCAAGGCGTTTGCATATGTATCAAGTGAACTGCGGAAGAAGTTGGACCTCAAATCCACTCCATGCATCTTTATTGGATATGGAGATGAAGAGTTCGGGTACAGGCTATGGGACCCAAAACTAAAGAAGGTTATTCGAAGTAGAGATGTGGTTTTCTATGAAAACCAGTATTATGATTTCAAGGCACCGGTTAACAAGCAACAAAGCTCCAAAGTTTCAGATATAATATCTGAAAATAAAGAAGATGTTTCCGCTGAAGAAGTGGATGAAGAAGTCGATGATGCATATCAAGAAGGTGTTGATGAGGGGGAGCTTCCACCCCTGGATAATTCAGATCCACTGCCAGAAGTTGCAAATGAAGGAACTCAATTTCGACGATCCGAACGAGTCCGTGCTCCATCAAGAAGATATCCGACTTCAAACTACATCCTTCTTACTAGTGAGGGGGAGCCAGAGAGCTTTCAAGAAGCTCAATCTCATATTGACAAAGCAAATTGGCAGAAGGCCATGGAAGAAGAAATGAATTCTTTGCAGAAGAATCAAACATATGAGTTGGTGAAACTCCCCAAAGGAAAGAAAGCCTTGAAAAACAAGTGGGTTTTCAAACTGAAGAAAGACGGAAAGGGAAATACTATGAAGTATAAGGCAGACATGTTGACAAAGGTGGTGACACAAGAGAAACACAGACTATGTGCTGACATAGTTGGGATGAGGATTGTTGGACGGAGACTGGAGGGGGAGATTTGTTGTGTTCCAGCCTCCAAAGCCTCCAAAGCTACAGTAGCCATCATTGTTGACAAAATGAAACCTACGGGACAAGTTTTTCTTCCCACCCTATGATGAACACAATTAATAGACGCAACTACAATGGTGGCTGCCAAGACTATAAATAGAGACTTCATTCTTCAGTTGTATGCATCCCAAATACAGAGACACAAATGGTATAAAACTTAGAGTGAGAGTGTTAGTGAGAGGGTTGGTCTTTTGTAATAGTTGAGTGTGAGAGTTGCTCCTCCTATTGTAATTCTATTTTAGTGTTTAATAGAAGAGTTTTCCGACCCCAACAATATCCACATGAAACGTAAACAACAAGTCAAAGAGAGATATTCGTTACCCCAAAACTCCATTGTATTATTGCAGAGAGAGGCAGAGAGAAATTAGAGAAAGGGAGCGGCAGTTTGGGTTTCGACGAAAACGCAATGCGGAAAGAATTATTATACATACCTTCTAATTGTCAGGAAATCACATAATTGCAGTTTGGTCCCCGTAAATTTTGATTTTCATTCATTACAATCTTGGGAAGTGATTAATTTTTAATTATCATATTTAATGTTTTGGTCCCTGTTTAGAAAATACGATAATTATAATTTTTGTCATTATACTTTTATATTTGCAGCAATTACAAATTTGGTCACTATAGTTTTTAATTTAATATATTTACAGTTTTGATCCCTGTTGTTTATAATTTGTGTTATTTATACATGAATGGTCCCTATGTATAAGCGATATTACATAAAATGGTTCCTATATAATGACGACTTTATAGAAATGGTCCATATATAAAAGAAATTATAATAACGGTATGGTGTAATAGTGAGATTACAAAAATGGTCTCTATATAAGAAGACGGCATTACATAAACGAAGTTAAAATTATAAGATTAATAAACTCACAGCAACGCGTAGGTAAGGCATCCCCACTAGTTCATATTTATAGTCAACATAAATGCACGTTAGTTAATGATATATAATATTAATTCGCGTAGCTACGAGGAACAGTGTAGTTTTTGCATTTCAGGATTTGGCCACATTGTTTTTGCATTTCAGGATTTGACAACAATACTTTCCTAACAGTTTCATTTTCAGCCTCTCATAAATAATGTCGTCCTTTTGTGTAAGAAAATTAGGGTTTGTAGTGGAGAACTGGATACCAACTTGGATCGTGAGAACACTTTCCGAACTGATATTTCTACTCTATGCCTGGGTTGCAAGAAATTCAGCCTAGGATAATCCAAGTGGACACTTACGATTCTAGGCACAGAAATCGTAAGCCAATTTGTTAGAGAGATTCTGTGAGAGTTTGATGAAAACGAGAGCTCAAATCCGTAACCTTCTTCTGAAGAGGAAGAACCGTTTATATATTAAATGAGATTAGGGTTTCATTAGGGTTGGGCCGTCTTTAGTTGCTTTGGAAGCAAGTCAGGATAATCCGGATTAGGGTTACCAAAACTAACGAGTTTCGTTAGTTTTACCATAATCACCCAGCCAGGGGCTTTGCCCCTTGGACCCCGCTAGGGGCGCTGCCCCTTTGGAAACCCCGGACCCAGGGGCGCTGCCTCTGGACCCCCGACTAGTCGTCGAACCGGCTTCTAATTCGATCTTATACATGCGTGCACTCCGCACAACCCCGTACATATATTAGCGTACAAATTATGAAGCCCCTTAGCTCACATGTCAGTTCCAGTTACTTAAAATGATATGGTGACACTAAAATCACCAACATTCTCCTTTTTTGTTCTACGTCTGACACGAATTCCTTTTCTATTCCACCCCTTCTCCCCTTTTGCTCTATGTAATGTTTTTTGGTTCATACAGGACCGGAGGGTTCAAAATCGGAAAGATCCACTGCGAGAGGGGCGAGTACCGACGGCTTAGGCAGAGGAGACAGAGAAAACATTGGGTTTGGCTGAATTGCACGTATATGTGTGATCTGCTACTATTTCTACATCTTTTGTGTCGTTGATTAAAGTTGATATCAAAGCTTTTGTTATAGTTTGGTGAATCGAAATCGAAGGGGTTTTTGTATCTGGGTTGGAATTCGAATTGAAAAATATCAATTGTTGATAGTATCATCGCACCAAAGCTTATCTAAGTTGAAAAAAGTAGTGCGGCAAAGGCAAATCTAACAGTTTTCACCAAAATCGACCCTCAAACTGCTTCCGGTCTTATATTGAACTTGCAAGATCAAACTCCATAAGAAAGCGTAAAGCATGTATTCAGTTGTGTAGATTGTGGAGTATTATATAGGTATGGGTATACAATGATTGAAATACAACAATGAGGGATGAAGTGGTTAATTTGTAGGTTGTGGAAATTGTGTCTTAAAAAATGAGAAATGGTCAATTGTTGAAGGACCATATATATAAAACTGGAGTTTGTGGCACTATTCAATTCATGGATAAAATTGTAACCAATTCTAAAGATGCAATAAATGGTGGGAGTTTGTGGCACTATTCAATTCATGGATGGAAATTGTAACCAATTCTAAAGATGCAATAAATGGTGGTAATTAAAATTCAACGACACATTCTCTTTTCTCTTTTCTCATTTGTTTGGTGCGGCTCCTTTATACATACAATAAATATGCATGTGGTGTTTTTTATTGGTAGTAGTAAGAGTTGTATATATTTTTATATATAGCTAAAGAATGAGAAGTGTGCATATTGCAAAAATTATTCCACCAATTTTAGCTATTTGTAATCTCTCTGCAAAATTATAGCGCATTGTTTCTCGGCTTCCTCCGCCCATGGTTTTTTCTTATTTGGGTTTTCCACATAAATTCTTGTGTCTCTTTTATTTATCCTTTTCATTCGTATTTTATTAATAGTTGATTACGCTTAATGTTTTGATTTCATTCCGCATCAAACTAATATTATTCTATATCACTCGGATTCTTGGGGTGTGTCTCATACATGTATTACTACAATTGGTATCAGTGCTTTTGTGTTTTAATATTAGTTTATTAGGATCATTTTATCAAGTGATTAATCATGTCTTCGATTAAGTACAATATTTTGATATTGGATTGAAACAATGCGTTTTTGGGTTTTGAAAAGATGCCCACTACATGGACCGAAGAAAATAGAGAGATGAAAGATTTAAAAGCTTAATCCCATATTCATTTGCATGAAACTTCAACGGTTTCTTTATGGTTAAAGTTGGAGAAATTGTTGATGACGAAGAGCCTACCAAATAAGTTACATTTAGTTGTTCAATCTTAAAATGATTGAAGGAGGTTATGTGGCTGAACATATATGCAC